GTGTGTGTGTGTGTGTGTGTGTGTGTGTGTGTGTGTGTGTGTGTGTGTGAGAGAGAGAGAGAGAGAGAGGGAGAGAGAGAGAGAGAGAGAGAGGGAGAGGGAGAGAAATGCACCACCCCTACCAGGAATGCAGTGCAGATGCAAACACGGACAATTTTATGAACTGGGATTTGGGGCAAGGCGGGTGCCCCTCCCTGGGGCAGGGTTGCTGCCTGGAAACAACTGCACCAACCTCATGGCCCCTTTGTCCCTCCCTTTCAGAGAAAACCGGGAAGATCCTGACGGAGTTCCTCCGCTTCTACGAGGACCAGTATGGTGTGGCTCTCTTCAACAGCATGCGACATGAGATCGAGGGCACCGGGGCGCCACAGGCCCAGCTGCTCTGGCGCAAGGTGAGAGGCGCTGGGCCAGGGGCAGGGCGGCCTCCGTGGCCACGGTTTCCCATTGTTGCTGGATGGTCTCTAAGGGCCGCACCCGGCTTCTGAATAGGCAGGTGACCTGGTGGTGGTGTCGAGGCCCTTTTAGCACCGTGGGCGACTCCCCCGGGCCAGCCCCTCCGTCAGCAGAGCTAGGGCTCTTGAGTCATCTTGACAGGCCTGGTCCAAGCCCAGCTCCTTCTCTTACACTCTGTGTGCCCGCGAGCTGTTACCTCACCTGTGGAGCCTCATGTACTCATCTGTAAACCTGGCTGAGCGCACCTCCCGAACCTGGTGGCTGTGAGGATTAGAGATTTGTCGGCTGGGCACCTGGGGCTGGGCAGGTGCTGGCTGACACTGTCATCATCCCTGGCCTTGTCATTATCCCATTATCAGTGGTAGGATTATGTTTGCACAGTAAATATTTGTCCAGTGAGGACTGGAAGCCGCCTGGCTCCAGCCTGGGGGTCAGCATGGGCCGGACGAGGTGGAGAGCCTCCTGGGGAGGGGATCCTGTGGTCGGCCCTGGCATGGGGCTGGGGATGGGAATGGCGCCGAGGAAGTGAGGGGATAGCCGGGGCACTGGTGGGGCTCTGGCTTCCTGGCTGGAAGCCGCCAGGCCTGGGTCTGAGCACTTGGGGTGAGAGGCCAACCCTTTCTCCTCTGGGGGTGCTGCAGGGGCCCTGTGTCAGCCCAGGGAAGTCCTGTTTGAGGGCACTGCACATCCCATTACTTGGGTCATTCCCTTTCAGTGACCTTCACCCTCTGCCCACTGGATGGTTGGGCAGGTGGCAGAGGGAGGGGTGATGAGAAGGAAGGGTGCCAGCCCCCCTCCTCTGCAGGTGGCCCGGCCCTGGAGTGGCTGAGTGGCAGCCCAGAGGCTACTTGTTCCTGGCTGGTGGCCCCTGGCAGAGCGCCCAGCAGCTTCTCTCTGGGGATCAGACTGGTCAGCCAGCCAACCCCAGTGCCTGGGGCTCGGGGCATTCGTGGCTGATTTCCATGGTTGGTGGGCTGTGAGGTCGCCCTTGCTCGCCTCGCCACAGCTTCCGCCCCCAGTCCTGTCGCCTTCTTTGGGGCTGCCTGGGTCATCCTGTGCTTAGGCTTCGAGGGGCCGGGGGCAGTGCTGTAGCTGAGGGATGGAGGCTGGAACCCTGTGGTCTGGTGGGAAAGAACTCAGGGGGGTCCTTGGGTTCAAATCCTTTTATTAACTGGTGGCCAGGGCCATTGATGTAAGCTTCAAGGCTGTTTCCTCATCTGCCAAATGGGTACCTCCTGCATAGAGGAGGATGCGGATTCAGTGAGGAAACAAATGGGGGTGGGAGTCCCCACTTGCTGGGTAACCTTGCTGAGCCCGTTCTTCTGTCTGTGAAATGGTGCCCAGAGGGAAGAGTCATGGGCCAGAGGAGAGAGCAGCTTTGTGGAGGGGGTGGGCATCGCATGGCGCTCTGAAGGCTAGGTGGGATTCGGATTATTGGGAAGGCGTCTCTGGAAGGGGGAACGGTGTGGGCAGGGGAGTGGACATAGCGGGGTGTGCAGGGGGCGACAGGAGTGGGCAGAGCAGAAGGAAGAGCCCACAAAGGCCCCGCACTGGGAGTTGTTTCATTCCACTCCCCGCCCTCCCCCAAAACCAAGTGCCTAAAGATGTGCCTGTTTATCATGAGACCAAAGGGGTGGGAGCTGGCATCACTTGACCAGGCTTTGAGGATTTGTTACCCTTTGGTGTCATCTCAGCAGGAGGAACAGCTGGAGGCATCAAGTCAGTGGAGTGGGAGAGCTGCCACTGAGACTAAAGGATTCCGCCGAGAGACAGGCCCCCTACTCGGGACACACACTGACTGTGACGGGTCAGGTGCTGGGGCCACACTGCCCTTGCTGGCCCCAGACACTCAGGGAGACAGTAAACAGCCCTTTACACGATAAAGTGGGCGCTGTGAAGGAGATGACAGGGTGGACTCAGACAGGGGGGCCTGACTTGTCTGGGCGGCCCAAGAGGGCTTCCTGGAAGAAGGGCCATCTCAGTGGAAGACCTGATGGGAGAAGGAATATCAGACCACGGGAAAGGCAGGTGCAGAGGCCCGAAGCTGAGCCTTTAAATGGCTGGCCCAGGGTGGTGGAAGCAGGATTCAAGCCAGGTTCCAGATTCCTGACCAAAGTCTCTTTCTGTCTTGACCCCCAGACTGCCTGGGGTGGAGGGGAGGTCAGGGCTGTGTGTCAGAGCCTCTCAGAGCATCACACCTCCCTTTGATTTGGGGCCCAGAAAAGACTGTCTGGTCTCCTGATGTCATGGCAACCTGCTGACCCTGTGACAGCAGATGTGGCCTGGCCTGGGTATCTGGCAGGAGCACACCTGTGTAATAGGAAAGATGGCCTTGGACCCAGCCCAGGTGAGCTGCTTCCAGTGGGCAGAACTGGAATGGCTCCCCTATTTGGAAGGAAATGTCACAGGCAACCTGGGTCCCAATAACCTAAGACAGAAATGGGGTTCCCTGACGCGCTAAGCATTTACTCTGCATAAGAAACGCCTTTAACACCCACAAGGTTGAGTATTTGTGGTAAGAAAACAGAAGTAACATGTAAGCGGGAAGAATAAGATGAAATCACCCACAATCCCTGAAAAGGAGGAATCTTTGGTCCCATTTTGTCATTCAGTAAACTGACCATCGTGAGGCTAAGTCATGATAACAATATAATACTAGAAATCATCGTTGTCATCACATAAATTGTTTCTGGTAGAAATAATGCAGGGACACTCCCCTGGCGGTCCAGTGGTTAAGACTCTGTGCTCCCAATGCAGGGGACATGGGTTCGATCCCTGGTCGGGGAAGTAAGATCCCACATGCTGCAAGGTGTGGCAAATAAATAAATCAATAAGTAAGTAAATAAATGACATTTCCTCTTAAAAAAAAAAAGAAATAATAATACAATAAATAACAATACGATTAATAATAATACAAGTAATGGTAATAATAAAAACAGCAGTCCTTTTGTGTGGGCACTGCTCACACAGCCAGTACGACACTGCTCGGAGGGATTGTGATTTAGTCCCATCCCCATCCCAGATGTGGGCACTGAGGCTTGGACAGGTGGAGTCACCTGTCTGGGCTCCCGTGCTGTGGGCCGTGGAGCTGGGACTGGAACTCGGGCTGTCGGAGCCTGGGGACTGTGCTCTAACCCTTCACCATTTACCGAAGATGCCCATCGTGGCATCAGAGAGCTTTTCAGAGTCCAAAATATTTGGCCTGGGCTGTCGGGTTCCGTTTCGTTTCCTGCAGACCTTCCAGTGGACACGTGACTCTGCCATTTGAAAGTCTTAAAAATAAAACCCAAACCCACACCACTTACGCATTACGGGCTGTCCCAGGATCTAGGGGTGGACTTGGGGGCACTGCTGACTGAGCCCCACTCGCCCGGGCAGGCCCGCCTGGGTGGTGAGCTTGTGCCCTCAGCCTCCCACTGCCCAAGCCTGGGCTCCGGCTCTAAGCAGAAAGGAGGACTGCAGACCAGGGGCCTGGGGGTGGGAGTGAGGGTCTGACCAGGGTGTCGGGAGAGCTCTGTCTGCTCTTTTCTTTCTAGGAGAGATGGGGATTCAAGAGCTGGGTTGAGAGTAGGCCCCAGTCTAAATATAGACCACTGAGCCCAGCTTTGTGACTTGGGCAAAGCCCACTGTGTGTGTGTCGGGGGAGGTGCATGGTAGGGGGAACCGTTTTCTTTTCCTGTAAATATTTTTATCCCTGGGTAGGAAGCAGTCTTGGGGGGGGCCTATTGTTTGAGCACAATAGGCCCTCATTTTCCAAGAATGTTTTGGCATTTCCCCTTGAGGAGTTGCTGGGGAGAGGAGGCTGCGTGTGAAGGGAGAGGGCTGGGGGGTGAGGATGCCTGGGGAGGGGCCGCTCACCTCTGACTCCAGCTGCGGGGCAGAGCGAGGAAGCTAGGAAGGGTTAGGTACCATTAAGACAACATCAATACTTTCTCCCTTTATTACACACGATGCATGTAAGGCACCGTATTTGTTGTGGAACAGATAGAAGCTGCTGAGAAACAGGAACACTTGACTCCCCGAGCTCCTCCCATCCAGGAGGAGGGCTGCTCCCTTGTGGCCTCTTTCCTGAAGCTTCCCAGTGCGGGTCTGCTCAGGAAGCACTCGCTCTGGGACGGCCACCCCTCCCCCTCCTGAAACAGGTCATCCCTCCCCCTCCCCAAGTAAGTCAGCCCGAGGAGCTGGAGAATGACACTGACAAGTAACCCCAATAGTGGTCATGGTGGCTCCGCGTATGACTGCCTGCGTGATCTTTGCACAGAATCCTTGAGATACCTCGGTGAAGTCGGTGCTGTCACTGTCCCATTTGACAGATGAGGAAACTGAGGCTCAGAGAGGTGATGTGACAGGGCTGAAGTCACACTGAGTCAGCGGTCGAGTCAAAGCTAGGGCTTTGCAGGAAGGTCTGGGCGTTTCTGCTGCCCACACGGGAACCCTCCAGGCTGAGGTCCCCTCCTCCCCCACCCAGATTCATGGAGACCATCTTGTCAGCCGTCGGAGCTGGGGAGGCGCTATGGAGCCGCCGCGGTCAGGCTTTTGTTGCCCCAAAGGGGAAACAGGCCCAGAGCTGGGAAGATTTGCCCAGGTGCCGGGGCCTTACCAGTGCTGCCCGTGGGCACGTCCCCCTCCGGCGGAGTGACTGTCGCACACCCATGCTGCAGTGGGGGGTGGATGGGGAAGCAGCCTGCCTCGTGCTCTAGAGACCTGTCCCGAGGCAGCCGGGTCTGCCTAGGGCCAGGATGGGGTGGGATTCTGTCTGGGTCCGGTATTGTGGTGCCTGGCCTGGGTTCAAGTCCTGGCATCACCTCTGATCCTCCTGGACCCCAGGGGGGCCCCCTTCACTGCCCTGAGCCTCACTTTCCTCATCTGCCAAATGCGTGACATGCAGCCCTGCCTCGGGGGCCTTGGTGAGGTCAGGATGGAGGACGTGCTCACCTTCTTGGAGGACCCCATTCCCATGCTGGGTCCCACTCCCTGCCCTTGCCCTCCCATAGGTGCCCTTGGATGAGCGCATCATCTTCTCGGGGAACCTCTTCCAGTACCAGGAGGACAGCAAGAAGTGGAGGAACCGTTTCAGCTTCGTGCCGCACAACTATGGGCTGGTGCTCTACGAGAACAAAGTGGTGAGGCCCCCAGCCCATCCCGCTGAGCCCCCTCTTCTCCCAGACCTGGCCAGGCGCTTCGTCCCCTTCTCCGCGGCTTCCCCCGGCTTGCTGTCTTCTACTCTAGCTGATGCTGCGCGGCCCCCATTCCTAAGCCTGAGACCCCGTACCTCCACCCGCATCCCTCCCCTCCTCCCCGCACTGGCTGTTGCCAGGGCCACAGCAGAACCTCAGCAGCTTCCCCCCACCCCTCTGGCCTCCCCGTACCTTGCTGTGCTGCCTGCCCTCTGTAAGTGGCATTTCATCCATCCAGGCACCCAGCTCTCTGTGGTCCCCTTTCACTCTGCCTCTCCCCGCATCGGCCACTCGTCGCTGGCTCCTGCCCACCCCCGAGGCCCTCCAAATCTCTCCATTTCCAGCGCCCTCCTCGCCCTCGGCCACCTTCCCGCCTGGGCTTCCTGCTCCCCGGCCCCTCCCTTCCTTGCTCTTCAAGAGCAGCAGCTAATTGGCCGTTCCCTGCCTCAGAGGACCCCCGGGTGGTGGTCCTATCTGTTTCCTTCCTGATGCCCCCCCTTGCAACTCTGTGCCCTGCAGTGGCGGGGATGGGTGTCCTTCGATTGTTCCTTTGCTTTGGGCCCTTAGGGAACCCCCACCTGGTTGATCCACAGACCCTTCTACCAGACATTTCTGCAGAACAGCCGAAGGACAGGCTTGAGTGCCCTCTGTTTTGAGGGATGCACCAGACTCACTGGGAGGGCTTGTTAAAAAACAGGTTGCTGGGCCTAGCCTGAGTTTGATTCAGGTCTGGAGGGGGCCCAAGAATATGCATTTCTGACAAGTTCCAGGGTGACACTGATGCTGCTAATCAGGGACCACGCTTTGAAAATCATTGCCCTGGAGGTTCCAGCCACTCTTAAGGAATGTGTTGAGTAGTGACACCTAGTGGCTGAGTGCAGCATGGCAGCCCTGCTGTATGAGCTCCTATGTCAGGACTATTTTTTCTCCCCACGGGTGTAAGAAAGCAGCGCCCAATCCTTATTCTCCTGCCAAGGGGACTTAGGAAGTTAGTGGACAGTTCAGGGAAATGGTCAAAGACCCTGGGCTCTAGGGGCTGACAGACCAGGTTCGCGTGCAGGTTGGCTACCTTACCAGCGATGTGAACTTGGGGTTAATAATGGTACCCACCTCTGGCTTGTGAGAATTCTGTGAAATGAAGCATGCAGAGACCGTAGCACAGTGCCTGACATGTAATGAACACTCGGCTAGTGGTAGCTGCTGCTCGTAGAGACCGTAGGTGCAGTGGTGATAATAATAACAGTCACCTCAGCAGTGCTCTCTGACCCTTGCTGTGCCAGGCACTGTGCTATGCGTTATGTGGATTATCTCACTGGGCCCTCATGCAGCCCTGTGAGGTAGGAACTGTTATTACACTGGTTTTATAGATGAGGAAACTAAAGCAAAGGAGGTGCTTATCCTTGGCCTCACACAGACGGAACTTAGTGGAGTCAGGATTTGAGCCCAGACCCTGGGTCCGGGTCACTACACCACGTTGCCTCTAGTCATGGTGGTGGTCAAAGTCCTCTCTCCCCCTCCTCCCCTTCTTCCTTCTCCGCCTTCCTCTTTCCTGACTGGGGCAGGCAACACTGAATGGGGCCCTGGAGCCGGGGATGGAGACAGGGTTTGGGCTTGGCCATACGCGTAACCCCCAGGGACCATCTCTTTTGCCCCCTCCTCAGGCTTATGAGCGGCAGGTCCCACCCCGAGCTGTCATCAACAGTGCGGGCTACAAAATTCTCACCTCCTTGGACCAGTACCTGGAGCTTGTTGGCAACTCCTTACCAGGTAAAGGACCACCCATCCCAGGCAAAGCACCCAGGGATTTGGCCAGGGGAGAGGGCGCCCCTCCTCCTGGATCTCCAGGCTCCACATCTGCAGGAAAACCAGCTGGGCCTAGAGCTAGCGGCAGGTGCCCAGCACAACCTGAGCCTCCAAAGGGAGGCCTGAGAGGGGTTTTCCTGTGGCCACACAGTGAGTTGGGGTTGCCCCACCCGAGCCCCTGCTTCCTGAGCCTGGCGGCCACAGCTGTGCAGGGGGACCTCTCTCTCTACCCTGCCTCTTCCCTGGGTCCCTGAGAGGCTTCCAGGAGAAGATGATCCAGGTGCCCCAATTTGTAAGCTGCTGAGTCAATACCGCATTTGTAAGGAGCTATCCTAGGCGACCCCACCCCATCAGAGACACCCAGAAACCTTGTGGGATGACACCTGCCTCTAGATGATCCCAGGGAGACCAAGGGGTAAGGGAGATGCTGGCCTTGTGGGGGCAGCTTTTACCCTTTTGTGGGACTTGGTGGTTGAGGGCTCAGCTGGAGTCTGGCTTTCCTGGATTCCAGCCCCTGCACTGAGAGGGCTGACCCTGGGGTGTTATGTGGACCCCACGAGGTGCTGTGTGTGCTGAGCCGAGCGCAGGGACCCAGAGCCAGGGCCCAGAGAAGAACTGCCATTGTCTTGTTATTAACAGGAGTGGCAAGGTCACAGCCCAGGACCACTTATCTCGCTGGATCTCGAATATCCATGCGGACCAAATAGAGAAAAATCCCCTTTTATTTATTCTCTATCTCCCACACCCATACCTCCCTCCCCCCTTGGACATTTAAACCACACTTTGGCCTCTACTGCTGAAATTTGAAGGGAAACCCAAGAAGGTAATGCTTGGCCTTTGACCCTGAGGGCTCTGACCCTGTGTTATTTGTGCCTCATGCACAGAGTTTAGAACCTGACCCCAGGGAGGTGGCTGCATTACCAGCTCTGAGAAATGGTGCTGGGGGGTTCTGACATTCCTTTAGCCAGGCTGTGGAGCAAGAGAGAAGGCAGTGGCCTCCCCCACTGACTCTCTGGTCACCCCGGGACAGGCCAGCTCTCTCTGGACCTGAGCCTGCCCCTCATGGTAGGGCGAGGGGTCAGCTGCTGACGTCCTCTGGCTGAGGGAAGCCACAGAGGGCAGCTGCTCAGAGGGCACTGTCTCCACAGGGACCACATCAAAATCGGGCGCTGCCCCTGTCCTCAAGTGCCCCACGCAGTTCCCGCTCATCCTCTGGCATCCTTCTGCGCGTCACTACTGCTTCTGCATGATGACGGAAGCCGAGCAGGACAAGTGGCAGGCTGTCCTGCAGGACTGCGTCCGGCACTGCAACAATGGTGAGCCGCCTTTAGGCACCAGGAGCTGGGAGCGGGGGTTACCTGGATTATGTGCTGAGTGGTGACACCTAGTGGCTGAGTGCGGTGTGGCCACCCTGCTCTATGAGCTGTTCTGCTTTTCCTTCTGGGGTTGTTAGAAACCACTGTCGTGCTGCCCTTCATCTTGTTCCTTGATGAAAACAGTTCTGTGATGCTCTGAAACAGAATTTGGGATATTGTTCTCAGAGGGATGCAGTTGTTGAGCCCTTGGGTCACAAGATCAAAATCCTGATTCTGCCACTTTCCAGCAACAGGACCTTAGGAGACCAACTTACCTTTTGAAGCCTCTGTAAAATGGGGATAATAATCTCTCCTGTGTCTCAGAGGGTTTGTGAGGATTCACAGTGAGCATCCACTCAACGCTTGGTAAAGATTTTTTTATGGTACCGTTGCTTTCTTCTCAGGGACCTGGACCCGGGTCTGGGAAGTTCCCTTCCTCCCTCAGGGTCTCATTGTACCCGTCTGCAAAGTTACAAGGTCTCTCCCAGGTCACTCATTCACTTAACAAAGCTTTTAATGTCTCTGAGCCAGACCCAGGGCTGGGCACTGAGGATGCAGCAGGGAAGCAAGATATGGCCACCGTCCCCGTGCTGCTGGCAGCCTGGTGGGGAGACAGATGTTAAACAGATGAGGACACCAGGGGGTGATGAGTCACAGCTGTGCTGGGTGCCGGGTGGGAGCCACCTGGGGAACCTGGAGTGTGTGTATGTGTTGGGGGGTGCTGATCCTGTGTGTGGGGAGGGGTAGATCAGGGGGGCTTCCTTGAGGAGGCCAGGGTTCAGAGGAGACCTGGAGGATGCATAGTTCTAGAGCAGAGGGAGGTGAGTTCCAGACGGAGGTCGCAGCAAGCATGAAGAGAGACCCAGGGGTGTGGGCAGTTTAGAGGAGGGTGCACCAGGCCCTGAAGTGGGGAGGGGGGTGCCTGGAAATGGGCCTGGAGGGGGCACTGAGGTCAGGTCTGGAGGGCCTTGTGGGGCTTTAAGGAGTTTGATCAAAAAGGCTTGTGGTTGTCTCTCAGCCGGGGGGGGGGGGGGGGGGGGGCATGGGGGGCGCACAGGTCAAGTGTGGGTATTGCTCTCGCTTTCATCGTATTCCTGAATCTTAATTCTGAATGAATTATTAAGTAATTAAATGAGTTTTAATTATTTGTGAAACCGTGTGCTAGTGATGCTGACGATGGGTGGAGTTTGCTGGGTTTTAAGGAACCTTCTGATTAAACAGTAAACAGTTAAAGCAGTTAAAACAGCGGCAGAGCCTTCCCGCCATCCCCATCGCAGGGCTGAGCTTCCCGCCAGCGGCCACTCGGGGGCGCCGCAGGACGGGGGGGGGCGGGGCATGAAGGGCTTTCTGCCCTTACGGGAGGAGCAACCCCATCCTGGACCCTGAAATTCCTTCCCGGTGACCTGGCCTCTGGGCAGCAGAGGGAGGCCGCTGCTCCCGCCCTGCCCTTGCCTCTGCCCTACTCTCCCCCGCCCCCGGCATGCCTGGGGCGCAGCTCCACCCGCTGGATGGACAGTGGGCACCCACGCCTGGAGGCGGCTGTGCGGTGACTCGGCTCACCCCACCTGTCCCCTGTGCTCTCCGCTCTCCAGGGCTGCCTCTGCCCCGGCTGGAATCTGCCGGGCGACAGGAACCAGGTCTTCAGTCAGGCCAGCCCCTGCCGCCCACAAAGAGCCTCCTGTTCCCAGGTCCCCGGGGGCTGAGGGGCCAGGACCGGGCCGAGGCGATCTGGGCTCTGGCTGCCTGGCCTGGGGCACCGTCCCTCCTCCTCCCCCGTCCCTGGCCCAGCTCCTCCCTCTGAAGGTTTCCAAGGCTAATGGCAGACCTGGCCAGGTGACCCCAGGCCAGGCCGGGTGGGGACAGACCAGGTGGGGAAGAGCCGCCGTTCGGTTCCCCGTGCGCACAATGGCGGTTGTGATAAACTTTGCTAGATCGTGGGGAGGAATACATGAGCTGGGCTGGGTAGAGCTCTTGGCCCCCGTGCCTAGCACATAGCGAGTGCTCAGCCAGGAGGCTGAGGGGTATGGGTGTGGGTCCTGTGGGCAGGAGGGGAGGCTGGGGAGAGCTGCTGGGGCGGGGGGAGAGGCGTCCTGCGGCCGCAAGGTGTTGGGAGCTGACAGGGCGGTTTTAGAGGAGCCTTTCCTCCACCCTGAGGACTGTGGGAAAGTTCTCGGCTTCCTCGGGGGCTGGGCCTGGAATTTGCAGGGCCTGGAATTGCTCACTCCAGGGGCTGCCAGGAAGTGGGGGGTGGCTGGGGAAGGAGGCCGAGCTGGGTGGACACAGTTCGTCCGGCCCCCGCCCACATCCTGCATTCCCGGAGCAGCTGGGGCAGCAAGAGGCAGCGGGGCACGGAGCTGCCCCCTCGGGCTGGGCCTGGGGTGCAGAGGTCAAGGCCTCTTCCTGTCTGACCGCCGTCCCCCTCTGCCTGCTGCCCGGGCATGAGGAATGTAGCTTCCTTTCTCTGCCTGACCCTGAGGACCCCACAGGCAGGAAGTCTCCAGGTCTCGCTAGAGTCGGCCAGTCTGGGTTCAGGCCCTGGGGCTGCCGTTCCCTAGCGGTGTGGCCTCGAGCCAGTGACTTTGCCTCCCTGAGCCCGTTTCCTCATGGGGAGAGTGCGGCTGAGAACAGCTGTCCCTCTGGGAGCTGTTTGGGGAATTAGGTGAGGGAATGCGTGTGCGGTCTCAGCCTTGGTCTGCTGTAACACGGGACCACAGACTGGGCGGCTTAAACAACAGAAATTTATTTTTGCCCAATTCTGGAGGCTGGAAGCCCGAGATCCAGGTGTCAGCAGGTCTGTTTTCTTCCGAGGTCTCTCTCCCTGCCCAGCAGGCAGCTGCCGTCTCCCTGTGTCCTCACACAGTCCCCGCTCTGTGTGCGCAATTTGTCCAGATTTCTTCTTCTGAGGACACCAGCCATACATATGGGATCAGGGCCGAGCCTGAGCCCCTCGTTTTAACTTAATTTCCTCTCTAGTCCCTGTCTCCAGTCAGTCACATTCTGAGGGCGCTGGGGGTCAGGACTTCAACATAGGACTTTGAAGGGACACAGTTCAGCCCCTAACAGCCAGGCTCAGGGGAAGAGCTCGGGAGGGGTCACCCTCCCTTTTGATTCAGCCACTCGGCATGCAGAGTAGGGACATCCTGAGGGTCTGAGGCTGCATGTCTGACTGGCCAGAGCCCAGGGCATTGGCGGCCTCCTTCCTGCTGCCCAACGCTCTGGCTCAGCGTCCTGCCACCTGGAGAGCGACCCTGCCTGGCACACCCGGCTTGTTGTCTGCAGACTGTAAATGCCCCAATGTGAGAAAGGCTGCATATAATGCACGGCTGGATTTTTCTGGGCAAAACCTGGTCTCTGGGAGACGGTGCCCCTCCTTAAGCCTGAAGGGCTTCCTCCCCTGGCCCAGCTGGGCAGCACCCACCCCAGGGCTCTGCGTGGCACCCCAGCTGGGACACCCCTGCTCTGCCCCCGTCACTCCCTCCTCATCTCAGGTCCCTGAAATGCAGGGTGAGACGCCCCTCACGTCCCCATCCCAGTCCACGGAGCTGCCACTGCAGGGCTGGGGCTGGGCCTCAGTTTCCCCACCTCTGAGCTCTCTTCCAGCCCTGCCAGGCAGTGTGATTCCTGGGTCAGCAGATGTGGAGGGGAGGGGTTCTCCCCATGCCAGAGAGGGGCTTCTTCTCTGGGGGGTGACTCAGCCCATAGTCACTGCAGTGGAGGTCGGGGTTTCGGAGGCACTGGCTGCCATTTCCCCTTCCCTTGGCTCTGGGGACACAGCGGTCAGAGGCTCGTGGCCAGGGTAGCCGCCAGCTGCCTGGCTGCGAGGTGTTTAACCACGTTCGTCCCGAAGTCAGATGTTGCGACTTTCTGCAGCCTGCCTCCCCAGCGCTCAGTCTGAGGCCCATGCCTTGTTCACTGACCCCCTCGCCAGCACGGGGGAGGTGGGCAAACTCATCTGGGCCACCACTGCCACCATCATTGACAAAAGTGAGAAATGGTATTTCCAGTCCCCTGGATGCACGGCTTTGAGCAAGGCGGACCCAGGGCAGCAGGAGCCATTTGTGGCTGCAGTTACTAATAAAGTGCGACGTGGTGCCCGCTGGGCCTGCCCCCAGGCCCTGCCTTCACAGTCCACACTGTGGTCCCTGCAGCCCCACAGTGGGTGTGTGAGGCCAGGCTGGTCATTGCTCCCACTATTCAGAAGGGAGAACTGAGGCCCCTTAGGGTTCAATGACCTGCAGCGAGGCTATGGGGCAAATTGGGCTCATCGCCTATTTTAATAAATCCAGTTTTATCGGCTCGTTTGTTCACACACTGCCTGCGGCTGCTTTCCTGCTACAACGGCAGGTTGAATGGCTGGGACGGAGATCGTCTGGCCCACAAAGCTGAGACTATTTACTGTCTAGCCCTTTGCGGGGGAAGTTGGCAGGCCCCTGGTGGAGGGAGGGTCTCTGGGTGCCTCTGGTATGCTGTCTGCCATGCCGGGTGGCCTCTCCTTGGTGGTGGTGGTGGCTTCTGGTCCTGGCTCTGCTGCTCACTGGCCTTGGACCCTCGGCAGTGGCCTGACCTCGGAGCCTGTTTCTTCATCTGGAAAAGCAGAGGAAACGACAGTGCCCACACCTCGGGCTGGTTGGGAGGATTGAAGGAGATGAGGATACAGAGCAGGGCTGTCTTACTGTCCACTGCTGTTGTGGGTTCTTATCGTTACTGTCACTGCAACAACTACTGATGCTGTTACTACAAGAGCCGTGGGGGTCAGAGGTGGGGGAGTTTGGGCAGTCAACCCATTGGTCTCGGTGGAGGGCATGGGCCATCCTACCGACCTCCTCTCTACGTCCCTCTCCCGGGCAGGGATCCCCGAGGACTCCAAGGTGGAGGGCCCCGCGTTCACTGACGCCATCCGCTTGTACCGCCAGTCCAAGGAGCTGTACGGCACCTGGGAGATGCTGTGTGGGAACGAGGTGCAGGTGAGGCCAGGGAGGCTGGCGGGGAGGCTGCGCAAGTCAGAGCGGGGCCACAGGCAGGGCTCTGGAGCACTGGCTGCAGGTTCGGACGGGTGGAGGCTGAGGTGATCCCGCAGGGGGAGGTACTTGTTATTTTGTTCAGTCATTAACTGAGCACCGACCCTGGACTAGGTGCTGGGGTGCATTGTAAGAGGGACACAGTCCTGGCCCTTAGGGAGCTATCTAGAAGGAGAAACAGACGTTTGACAAGTAAACGCACACACTTCCATGTGCAGGCAAGGGGGGCAGGGTGTGGTATTCCAGACAGGGTGGCAGTATGTGCAGTGGTCCTGAGGTGGGGCCCCTACAAGATCCTACAGGACACCCAAGCAGGTAAGCTGGGACCTGTGGGAATGATGCTCAGGAGGGAGGGCAGTGGAGACATGGAGCAGAGAGCAGATTTTTTTTTTTTTTTTGCGGTACGCGGGCCTCTCACTGCTGTGGCCTCTCCCGTTGCGGAGCACAGGCTCCGGACACGCAGGCTCAGAGGCCATGGCTCACGGGCCCAGCCGCTCTGCGGCATGTGGGATCTTCCCAGACCGGGGCATGAACCCGTGTCCCCTGCATCGGCAGGTGGACTCTCAAGCACCGTGCCACCAGGGAAGCCCAGAGCAGCTTTTTGAGGGGGGTGTTTGAGTGGCCGGGCTTGCCGGAATATGGAGGGGGCTGGGCATGCTCCAACCCCTGCCCCGGCCTGTGCCTCCCGGTCCTAGATCCTGAGCAACCTGGTGATGGAGGAGCTGGGCCCTGAGCTGAAGGCAGAGCTCGCCCCCCGGCTGAAGGGGAAACCGCAGGAGCGACAGCGGCAGTGGATCCAGGTGGGCAGGCCTGGGCTTGGGAGCAGGGGTGGGGGGCCTGCAGCTGCCTGGCACCCTCAGCCTGGCGCTGACACCTCCGCCCTGCCCACAGATCTCAGACACCGTGTACCGCATGGTGTATGAACAGGCCAAGGCACGCTTTGAGGCCATGCTGTCCAAGCTACAGCTGGCCCGGCCGGCCATGGAGGCGGTCATCCGCACCGACATGGACCAGATCATCACCTCCAAGGAGCATCTGGCCAGCAAGATCCGAGGTAGGAGGGCCACCTGCTATGGCTGTCATCACCTGGTGGACGTGCTGGGACCACCCACCCTCCGGGGTCAGGGGGTCCCTCCTGCCTGTTTCAGGGATCCGTTTGCATTTCACAGGAATGACTTGATTCATTATTTTTAAAACACCAGAATCAAATCTGAGGCATTGTTCTTCCAACCCCTGTGAGTTGTTTGCCAGCTGTTATTTCTATAGACTCAGATCTTGGTGACCTAAATGACGTTGAGGTTCAAGCCTTCTGTTCACCTTTGGTCATCAGATCTACCATGTGTCGTTTTAGCGACATCAGCTTGACTCTGGTGATTCACATTCAGCCAGCCTTTCCCTGGTCAGCTGATGCTCCTTTCTGTTCCGAGCCTGATGGGATCCTTTCACTCATCATCCATCACACGCTGGCCATAGTTGTGACTGTTGTCAGTTGCCCGAGGGTTATTCTCTAACCACTGCACTCACTGGGAGCTGGGAGGACACCGAGAGTTGACATTTATTGTGTGGGACAAATAATGTTAGCTGGGCAGAGGGCAGAAGGAGGGACGTCAGACACCCCCTGGCTAAAAAAGGCCTTGGTCAGAATGTCTTGGAGACGGTCCCTGCCCACAGGGAAGCAGCCTTTTCCATAGTTGGGCTGAGTCAGGCCACACCATTCCAGAGCAGAATCGGGGTTTGCAAAACCCAGAGGCTCATTGAAGCCACTGAAGTGTTTTTCTTTTTTTTTTTAAAAAAAAACGAAGGAGCAAGACCCCCAAAGGTGAGTTCTCTTCCTCTAGCTAAGCAGAAAAATTGCCAACCTAGAGACCTTCACACTAGCAGTTTTCTTAGTTTCTTCCCGTCACAGTTTCAGGAACAGCAGGCTCCAGTCTCAGAACTCCCTGTTATTTGTGCTGCATTATCAGCTGTTCCTCAAGAATCCTTCAGTTTGCTAATGTTGTCACCAGTGGTCTTCTTTAAAGAATAATATGACAGCCTGCCTCTAGCCTGGGGGTCTGGGATGGTGGGAGTTGCTACCGGGGGTGCCGTCCGCTAACCAGCTCCCTCGGTGCAGCTTCCATCCTCCCCAAGGCGGAGGTGTGTGTCCGGAATCATGTCCAGCCCTATATCCCGTCCATCCTGGAGGCCCTGATGGTGCCCACCAGCCAGGGCTTCACCGAAGTGCGGGACGTCTTGTTCAAGGAGGTCACCGACATGAACCTGAACGTCATCAATGAGGGCGGCATCGACAAGCTGGGCGAGGTGAGCCAGGCATGGCCCTGGGTTTGGGTTTGGTCTGGCCCCCATCAGGCCCTCACTGTGATCAGGGCTGGCCGCTCCCCTCCGGGGCATAACCTGTGAACGGAGGGTGTGCGGGAGACCAAGGGACCGGGCCAGTACACAGATGCCATTTCGTGCACCTCACAAATGGAGCCAGCCTCTCTCACCTCTGAGTTCTCTGGTTCTCAGGGTGAACCGTCTTCCACAGACCCCATATTGGGGTAGTCGGCTGCCTGGAACCCCACATAATTGTCAGGTGTAGATAGAATTGGTCCTGTAATCTTAGCGTCTCCTACACCCCAAACTGAGGAGTCCATTGACAACAATAATCATAGAATTTGAGAGCCATAGAAGACCTTAGAGATCATGAAAAACCGTCTCCTGATTTGGAGGCTGAGGAAACAGGCTAAGAGAAGGTGAGCGATTTGCCCAAGGTCACCCAGCGCCCGGGCTGGCCTCTCCCCACACGCTGTGCTGCCGGACCCCACTCCTCCTGCCTTCAGATCCTCGTGCTTCCTGTCCCGGGTCCTCCAGCGCTTGCCTTTGTGACCGCCACCCCCGGATGGCCTTCCCGGCTGCCAGGGCCTGGACCCCGAGGGCCCAGGGGCTGGGGGGCTGCCTGGCTCCTCTGGTGGCCCCAGCTCAGGTCCCGCATGCCTCTGCCTCCCTGCAGTACATGGAGAAGCTGTCCCAGCTGGCGTACCACCCCCTCAAGATGCAGAGCTGCTACGAGAAGATGGAGCCACTGCGGCTCGATGGGCTGCAGCAGCGTTTCGACGTGTCCAGCACGTCTGTGTTCAAGCAGCGAGCCCAGATCCTCATGCGTGAGGTGAGCCCAGGGTGCTACCCCAGCTGCCCCCGCCCCTGCCCCCCCCATCTCCTGGGGGAGAGGCTGCCTCTGTGGCCTTCCTCCCCGGCCCCCTCGTCATCGTCCTCACGGGCCTCACTGCAGCCACACTCGGTCCCGGCGTGCTCTCCGCTGCTCTGCTCTCTGGTCTGTTTGGACCCTGTCCCTCTGCCCACCTGGCTAATTCAGACTCATCTTTTGGGTCTCAGAGACCCCTTCCTCTGGGAGGCCCTCCTTGCTCCCTAAGCCCCTTCCCACAAGGCCCAGGGCCTCTGTTTCCCTGAGGCAGGGACTGGCCCTGGTGCCCAGCCGTGAGCCAGCACACTAGACAGTACAGGAGTGAGTGAGTGAGTGAGTGAGTGAACGGGCAGCTGAGCACACAGGCACCCCCTCCTCCCGGCGGGCACCCCTTTCACGTGCCCCGTGGTGTGCCCCGCCGGCAGCAAATGGACAACGCCGTGTACACCTTCGAGACCCTCCTGCACCAGGAGCTGGGGAAGGGGCCCACCAAGGAGGAGCTGTGCAAGTCCATCCAGCGCATCCTGGAGCGAGTGCTGAAGGTGAGCCGCCCGGCCAGGCCCCACCCCTCCACTCAGTGGGACGCTGGGGCTCGGGTCAGACCAGGGACCAGTGGAGCTCCCTGACACAGAGCCTCCCATGCCCTGGCCCCTCTTCCTGGCAGAAATACGACTATGACAGCAGCACCGTGCGGAAGCGCTTTTTCCGGGAGGCTCTGCTGCAGATCACCATCCCGTTCCTGCTCAAGAAGCTGGCGCCCACCTGCAAGTCGGTGAGTGCGCCCTGCCCCCCACTGCCCTCCCCCTCTCCCCTCCCTCCCCCTCCCTATC